TAGGCTCGCCAGCTCTGAGTTGGCAATAACTTGGAGATTTTGGGGGTGGAGCCTGAGTGGTGGGTTTAGATTCAGAGGAATTAGCTGTGTTAGTCTGTTGCTGCAAAATAGTCCAAGAGTTCAAATAGCACCTTTAAGACTAACAAATAGCACCTTTAAGACTAACCTTTAAGACTAAGACTAACTGAGTGGTGGGTGTGGCCTTATGACACACTTCCGGTGATGGCAGGGGGTGTGACCTTATGACACACTTCCGGTGATGGCAGGGGGTGTGGCATATGCTAATGAGTTATGCTAATGAGTTCCCCTAGCTTTTTTCTATGAAACAACCCCTGACCACACCCCAGATGTTTCAACAGTAGCTGACTTTTTTCAGAGAAAGTTTCCAGTTCCCCATCTGCCAGGAAGCTGACTGGGTGATCTTGGCCCAGTCACTCTCTCTCAGCCTGACCTACTTTACGGGGTTGTTATAAAGATATGATGCAGGTGGGGAAAATGGTTTATGACACCCAAAGCTTCTTGGAAGAAGAAAAAATATATAAAATGCACTAGATAACATAAATCATGCTTTAGTGTAACCGAGGGTCATTTCGTAGAAAAAGAGGTGCAGGAGCTCATTAGCATAACTTATTTGCATATGACACACCCGCTGACATCACCGGAAGTGTGTCAGAAGTCAACACCCACTGCTCAGGCGCCACTGGAGTGCCTTGGATTGCTAGCTATTGGGGGGGGGGGAATGTGCAGATCTGTCCTCACAGAGGAGGGAGAGCTTGTACCTGAATAAAACTTGGTCTTAAAGGTGCCACTGGACTGTTTTGGACCAGGGGGCCGGGGGGAGCTCTGCAACTTACCTGGCTGCTTCTTGCTCTGACTGAGAGCTGCTGGGAGCAGGGGGTGGGGCTTGTTGCATGTGCCCACCCCCTGGGCTCTTTACTGCTGGAACTCCGCTCCTCTGCGCTCCAGCAGGAAATGACCCCTGAGTGTAACACATTTATCTAGAATTTGACTTGGACAGCTGGGAGGTATGACATGTAAGATAAGCCTACAACAGGATGTTGAGAATCGCACTTCCTTGCAAGTACCCTTCCTTACATTTGGGCACTCAATGTGGTGATCATGAAGCAACTGTGTAGAGAATATTTGAGATGAGAGGTCAGTGCACCTCTCCATGCTGAGAGCTCTAAAACGCTTCTGTGAGTTCTTTGCAAGTGTAGCTCTCATATGTGAGACTGCATAGATAACTACCAAAGAAGGTCAGGAAACTATGGCCTATTATGCATGCACAGCTTACTGCAGAGAATCTGAGCAGTCATGCTTCGGATTCTGCGCCTCCTGTATGCACCATTCTTTTTCTCCGGTGTATTTACTCTGCAGCGACAATTTCTAAAACACACTTTTCTAAATCGGGGTGGGATGTCACTTGTGACGTTTGGGGGATGGCGTCCAAAGTTTTTTTTTTTTTTTTAAATGCAACTGCCCTATTGCAGCTGTGCAGTAGTGCCCAGCAAGCACCTTCCATTTTGGAAAGTACGCAGACGGAGAGTGATTTCAGCAAAGCATACTTTATTCGATCTGGAACAAGACGTCTTTGGCCGGCTCGCAGGCTGGCTTATATCGCCCGAGAAACCGCCACCCAAAACACAGCCCCACTTCCCAATAGGTTATTTACAGTGGCCGAGAGTCCCATAGGCTCTCGGACAGGAACCTAGCCCCCTGATAGTCCATTGTCTCTTGGAGAAAAGCTCGACATTTGTCTCTGACCGCGTGGAGCCCGACCCGGCCAAGCGGTCTGGACTGGATACATTACACATTGAAATCCTCGTGCTTCAGGTTTTGCACATGCATTTTAGCATTAGTTCACTGAATGAAAAGGAACAGAAAGGAACACTGGCAAAGGGAGGAAACCCACTGTTGAAACTGACTAGAAAAAGTCTCCCGGAAGCATAGGAGGGGGTTAAAAGGAAGCCTCTTCCTCGGCAAGGCCAGGTATCCCCCTCTTGCCTCAGGATTCTCTATGGAGGCACAGAAGGCACTTAAAAGACAGAGCTTGTTTCAAGTAGCTTCTATATGGCAAGTACTATGTCTAGATTGACCCTAATTGACCTCACAAGTAAAAGGTGGTTTGTAATTTGTGTCTACAATGTTATTTTTACAATTATATTTGTTTCAGTTGCATGGATTGGGGTATTAAATCCTTCATTACTACTTGGGTTTGTCAGTCCGAAAACCATTGGCAGACTAGAATGTTAAGACAGCTCAGTTTTAATTTCATTCCATTTCTAGAAATGTTTCTGAACTGACAGATTTAAATTGTCAGCCACTGTAAAACAAATGTTGATTAAGGAATAGTCTCTATGACAACAGTGTGACAACAGTGTGAACCCCTTTGGAGTGCCTTTCCCTATGAGGAAAGGTTAAGGCGCTTAGGGCTCTTTAGCTTGGAGAAAAGACGACTGAGGGGTGACATGATTGAGGTTTATAAGATTATGCATGGGAAAGAGCAGGTAGAGAAAGAGGTACTTTTCTCCCTTTCTCACAATACAAGAACTCGTGGGCACTCCATGAAATTGCTGAGCGGTCGGGTTAGAACGGATAAAAGGAAGTACTTCTTCACCCAAAGAGTGATTAACACTTGGAATTCACTGCCACAGGAAGTGGTGGCGGCTACAAGCATGGATGGCTTCAAGAGGGAATTAGATAAGCATATGGAGCAGAGGTCCATCAGTGGCTATTAGCCACAAGGTATAGATAGGAGCTCTGGGGCAAGTGATGCTCTGTCTTCTTGGTGCTTGGGGGGGTCAACAGTGGGAGGGCTTCTAATGTCCTGGCCCCACTGGTGGACCTCCTGATGGCACTGGTATTTCTGGCCACTGTGTGATACAGAGTGTTGGACTGGATGGGCCTTTGGCCTGATCCAACATTGGCATCTCTTATGTTCTTATGAAAAAAACTGACTTGCATTGGGAGTATATTCCTTGGCTTGGAAGCAGAGATGTGTAATGGGAAACAAATGGACTTCAGTGTTGTTCCTCTTGTGCAAAATCTTTATATATTAGAGTGCCCAGAAATGGGTTCCACATCTTGCACAAGTGGAAACCCGACAGAGATACAGTGTTTGACTTAGTGCAAGTGGCTAATGTGCTTTTGCATTTCTGCTTGCTCAAAACTTTGTGTACTGGATCCAGCCTCCTGTCTCAGTCCAGACTCCATTGTATCACAGGGTAGTCAAAGGTCCTAACCAAAAAATCTGTTGAGGAGTGGGAAGAAGTCAGTGTCTCACAACTCCTAGAGATTGTTTCAAACTTCCAAAGCCTCGATGTACCCTTCCACATGGCTGCTGTGAAGTTGGAGAGGAGGAGGTAGGCTTCCCAACCCCCCTGTTCCCTGCCGCCGGTGGATTGGGCCCTGGGGGGAACCCCACCCCAACATGCACATCGCCCAGAAGTTACATGGGAACACCGGGCACGCTGGGGGCGGGGCCACTGTCATCCGAGGGAAAACTCTATGTTTTCCCCTCGGATGGTTGTGGCCCCGCCCCCAGCATGCCCGGTGTGCCCACGTCACTTCCGGGTGATGTGGATGCGGTGCGCGCGGACACAAGCCACCAGCCAGGAGTCCCCCACTCCAGCAGAAATTGCACTTGGCACCCGAGGAGGAGGAGTTTAATGAGGCAGGGGGCGGAACACTGACTGCCAGTTTTTTCCCCTCAGGCTACTGGCCACCTGGCTGATTAAACTGGCAGACATGCCGGGTAAGGCTAAACAGCACCTTCGAGAGTAACAACTTTCCCCCCCTCCTTCCCAAACAGTGGTAGACCAGAGCCCAGGCGGAAAGAAAGTATCCTGAAATCAAAATATTGTTTGTCTTTAAAGTGCCACAAAACCGAGTGCAAACAACCTTAGTACAAGATTGTAGATGTTTACTCAGAAGTAAACACACTGAGTCCAAGGTGGCTTACTCTCCTGTAAAAGGCATCTGATCACAGCCTTGACGTCCAGCCACGGATGAGATTGAAGTGCTGTTGTGTTTTTGTTCCCCCCCCCCCCCCCAGTCATTTCAGGACCAGGAAAAGGGAGGGTGGACCATGACATGCAAAGTGGGAGGAATGAATTCAATGGGATTGGTGGACTTCCCTTCGAGGGGTGGGAGAAAGGGTGGGGGTGCTTTAGAATGACCTCCGGTTCTGAAGCAAAACAAGGGGGAAATCAGCACAAAGCATTCT